AGAGAAAAAGAGAAAAAGAGAAAAAGAGAAAAAGAGAAAGAGAGAAAAAGAGAAAGAGAGAGAGAAGGACAGAGCATACAGACGGAAGGGAACAGGATGTGAGCAACGCAGGGGACAAAAAGACGAGGGGGCAGATCAAGAAAAAGAAAAGAAAAGGCAGGAGGCCACCCCGAAAGCCCCGGGGCCAGCGGGGCGCGCGCACCCCCCCCCCCCCCCCCCCGCACACAAAGCAACACGCACTTGATCTGCTGCTCCAGGGTGGAAAGCTGGATACGGCTGATGAGGGCACCCATGTAATGGCGGAGCTGACGCTTGCGAGCCTCATGCTTGTGCATGCGGCGGTCGACATTCGGGGCCATGCGCCGGGCGAACTTGTACTTGCCCTTGACAACACGCATCGAGCGCCGGGTGACATCCTCCTTCTCCTCCTCGAATTCCGAATGCTCATCCTCAATGAGAGCCTCGCGCGCATACAGCTCGGCGCCGGTCATGAACTCGTAGGTGGGGTACTCCGGGTCGGCGTCCTCCGGGATCGGCGCACCGAGCAGGGCCTGGTCACGCAGGACAGTCGGGCTGTGGATCTGGAACGCGTGGTCCGGGATGCGCACCGACAGGCCCTTGTCGCTCAGGTAGATGGGAGCCACCTCGGCCCACATGTTCTGATCGCCATGCATGAAGCTGGCCCGGTCGCCGGAGCCAGTGGTGCCGGTGGCGGCCGCCGAGGCACCGGCCGCCTCCGCGTCGGCGGTGGCCGCCGCGCCAGTGGCCTGGTAGAAGTCGCTCGGCAGCCGCGGCCGACGGAAGAAGTGGGTCTTGAGGGTGCGCTCATTGCCGGCCTTGATCTGGGCATACTCCTGGACCAGGGCCGGGATGAAGGCAAACATGGTGCTCACCGACTGGGCAAGCTCCTGCTGGTCATGCTGCTTCAGGTAGTTGCGCAGCTCGGTGTACAGCAGCGAGCGGGTGTCGAAGAAGTCGAACGTCAGGACGGTCCACTTCTGGCTGAGGAGCTCGGCCACGGCCGAGATGGCCGGCCGAAGTTGGAACAGCTGCCGCGACAGGTCCTCCACCTGGGCAGCGGCATCCTTCAGCGGCCGGGCAAACTCCGGCAGCTGCTCCATCACGGCCAGGGCCGTGGGGCCATACTGGTACTGGAAGAGGGCCGCCAGGGTGCTCGGGAGGTTGGGATGCTCGGCCAGCATCGGGCCCAACTGCAGGGGGTTCTCCCGGTCCAGGGAGTCCAGGTACGACCGCAGGGTGCTCACCAGGGCCACGAGATCCGCCTCATGGGCCAGCTTGGTGGTGTCGCGCGAGAAGAGGAAGCGCTCGGTGTCCACGAAGGAAGACAGGACCTTGACAATGTGCCCGGCGGTGCCGACCTGGGTCGGGGTGGTGGGAGTGCTGGTCAGCTGGGCCAGGTCCTCGAGAGACGACCGGAAGGGGGCCGCCTCGTCCCCGGTGGCCGCGGCGCCCGGGAGCAAATGCCGCCGGCGCTCCAGCTCCCCGAGCAGCTGCTGGAAGTCCGCGGCAAAGCGACGCCCAGACATCGGGAACAGGGTCCGGTGCTTCTGGAAATCGAACACGAAAGGCCCCGGCAGGCGGCAACTCTCGAGGGCCCCCTCCGAGTCGTAGCCGGCATCCAGCTCATCGGAACCCAGGCCCGGGGTGATGCCATCGGACCGGAGGCCGGATTCCTCCAGGGCGGCCAGCAGGCGCGCCCGGGCCGACGATTCCGTGGAATCCTCGTCCAGGAGGTTGTCGGCGCGGGTGGCCCGGAGCGCGGCGCGAATCGACTCGAAGCCGCGATGGTTGGGGTTGGACATCATGGCCCCGATCAGGGTCATGGCCTCCTCGGAGATGTATCTATCCTTCTTCTCGTCGAACATGCCGGGGAAGCTCTGGTTGACCATGGGGCCGAGAAGATCCTCGGCCAGGTGATCGATGTCCGAGTCGTTGTCCACGGTCGCGGGCAGGGTCTCGAACTCCGGCGGGATGGCCGGCTCCTCCGGGCGCTCGGGGAAGTACGAGTTGATGGGGGTGTAGTAATGCTTGGCGCGCATGCCACGCATCATGGTCCGGACCACCGTGGTCGGGGTGGCCGTGGCCGGGGCCGCGGCGCGGGACTGCTTGTCATGCAGGCCGACGGCCGACAGGCGGGCCGCCATCCCGGCGACCGAGGGGACATGGTGGCTGGGCGCGGCCCGGAGGACGGTCCTGGCCAGGTGAGCACCCGAGGAGAACATGCTGAGTGTGGATCCGGAGTGCATGACCAGGCCGGGCGGGGAGGAGAGGGGAGGGGAGGGGGAGGGGGAGGGGGAGAGGGGGAACGGGGCGGCGACATGGCAGCGGTCGCCAGAAGGACCCAAGAGAAGCACGAGGTCAGGAGTGGGAGGGAGACAGGGGGCACGGGCGGGGAAGGGCTGGAGGAGAGCGGCAAGAGGGCAACACGAACATGGTTCGGGGGCACGAAAGCAGTGACCGACGGACTGAGTGCGATTCCCCCTGGTCGATGGGCGGCCCGGATGTGCGTGAAGGCTGGCGTGGGAGGAGGAGGAGGAGGAGGAGGCGGCGGCGGCGGCGGCGGCGGCGAGGGGAGCGAGCGAGTGGGGTCTGCCTGTGCGCGTGCGAAAGGGGGCGGCGAGGGCAGGGAAGGCAGCAGGGGGGGGGGGAGGGGGCAGGGCGGGAAGGGGCACAGGAGGGGGGGTGACACATGCCCGGCCGGGGACCACCCGCGGCAGGGAGACTCTTCTCTTTGCTGGGCCGTGGCGGAGGGCGGCGTGGGGCGTAGGGCGGGGGGGGGGCGGGATTGACCCGTGCGGGCGGCTCTCTTTCCCTCGGGTCGAATGTCTCTAACCCTCACACACGCTCCCCCCCCCCCCTAGGGGATGGGTGTGCACGGGCGTGCAAGCGGGCCCCAGTGCACGCAGGGCCGGGCGAACGCGGCCCGGCCCTGTCCGGGGGACCCTCGGCCGTGTGCAGGGCACGACCCCCCGTCCCGTCTCCGTCGACCGTGTCCCCGCCCGCCCGCCCGCCCGTTGGCGGCGCCTGCAACCAGTGCCGCCCGAGCTCGCGCCAGCGCGCGCATGCGGCCCTGACGCCCTGACCACGCTCCTCACAAGAGGAGGTTGGGGACCTGCTGGTCGCGCTCGGGGGGGGGGGGCGGGCGGGACAATCCGGAAACAGTGGTGGTCCAAATGGTATTCCTCGAGCGGGAGCCCTCCCCGGAGAAGGGGAGTTCTGGTGTCTTGGATTTAGTTGCCAACGAATGCGGCCACGGTCTAAAAGGTGCCCCGGGGCCGGGGGCGATCGGGCCGCCCTGGCGTGTAGAGAGGGGCACTTCCCTTTTCTCCCTCTCGCCCCTCCCTCTCCTGCCCAGCTCCTCTCTCTCCCTCCCCCCTCCTCCGTTCGTGAGCCGATCGCGCCGCGCTCCCTTCCCACCCCTGACTCTCCCGCCCCCTTTGGCCACTGCGCCTCGAAGGAGATCGAAAGAAAGATGGCCATCCCCCGGCGTGGGCTGCTCGATGAGCTCCGCTCCGTGACCCGAGCCGCGACCGGGGCGGCCACACCGTCGAAGGGCCCCGCGCCGGCCGGCAACGCCAATGACCTGGCCCCCTACACCCCGGCGTCCGATGCCTTGCTTGGGGACATTGCCAAAGTGGTGTACGAGGCCCTCCAGCCAGGCAGCGCCCTGTTGGACTTTGGCTGCGGCGATGGTCGCGTCCTGCGGGCGGTGGCCAAACACGCGGGGGCCCTCGCCGGCCATGATGTGCCCCATCTGCTGGGCGTTGAGTCCGATCCGCAGGCCGTTGCGCATGCGGTGGATCTGCTCGGCCGGCAGGCGGATCCACCGGTGCCTGCCGGGCGGGCGCATGTCTGGTGGGATGATGGCAGCCTGGATCGAGCGTCGGCCGAGGAGGGCGCCCCTGGGGCCGGGTGTGTTGGCCTCGGCGCGTGCAGCCTCTGCCAGGCGGGAGGGGCACCCTCGCCGACCCCGGCGCGCCTCCCCTGGTCGCAGATCTCGGTTGTCTTTGTGTACCTCTCGCCCAAGAGCAACCTGCAGATTCGCGAGCGTCTGGTAGCCCGGCTGCTGGGGGCCGGGCCGCCTGCGGACCGGGCCCGGACGATTGTGTCGCTGCGCTTTGGCCTCGGCGACCGGTGGCCGGCCAGCCATGTGCGCACGCTGGCCCTGATCGACCCGGTGGCCGGGGAGAAGGTCCCGCTCTATGTGTACACCGTGGACCCGGCCATTGGGCGCCTGAGCACCGGCCAGGCCTCCCCGGAGGAGCTGCTTGCCCTGGGACCGGCGGTCGATGGGGCGGCCGCGCCGCGGAATTGGAATGCCGAAGATGAGCAGCGGGAACTGCTCCAACGCGTTCTTGGAGTCCAGTAGAATACATCCAGATCCACCAGATCCAGGGCCATCATTTAGGAACCCCCCGTGCGTGGGCGATGCTTTCTTTCTTTTTGCCCGCCCGCCCGCCCGGGGTGGCGAGGCCGCGCGGGGGGGGGGGGCGGTCCCCCTGCCCAGGCGGGGTGTGTGTGCGTGTGTGTGTGTGGGCGGGTGGAGGGGGAGGGGGGGCGACACGCGCGCGCGCGCGCGCCGCGCCCGCAAACGGCTGGCGGACACTGAAAAATGGGAAAATATATATACATCCATTTGGCGGGACACCCTCCGGCCGTTAGTAATTCCCATGGGGCCGGAGAGGGACGCCGAGGAGCAGTATATCTACGTGTGTGTGTGTGTGTGTGTGTGTGTGTGTATGTGTGTGACGGTCGCATCACCACGCGTCCCCGTTTTCCCGCTTCGGGCGCACCGGGCCGGGGAGGGCTCGCGCCATGGGCGGGCTCTTCCCCCCCCCCC